CAATAATCCCCGAAGAAGGCCCAGGGGCCGAAATATCAATAATCCCCGAAGAAGGCCCAGGGGCCGAAAGCTCGGATTGTATTTAACAACTATAATGTAGATCTTTCAAGGTGCATCAATATATATACTTCTAAACGTTATCTGAAACAGACATGGAAACAAAACTTAACATTGCGCTGATGCACGCCATTATTCACAATTTAAGTGACTCTCTTGCGTACATTCCAAGCCATTGAATTGTCTCTTTTAAGAAATGGACTGGTCCAGTAAAAAGTACCGCTCTTCGGAAGACGACCTCAATCCAGACCCAAACGATAACTCTCACCTGTCATTCTAGTTAACAGTCTTTTGGAACTGACACAATCAAAGTTCGTAAACTGAGAACCCACATACATGTATCTACATGTATCTACATGTAAACTGAGAACCCACATACATGTAAACTGAGAACCCACATACATGTATCACATATTGCAATGCTTTTAAAAATTAGAAACTAAAACTCAGCATAGATAAGAAAATAAAAGAGAATTTATGCATCGTTTTTGTCCATAATGAATACACTAGTAGATCATAAGATACAAATATACTGTTCTGGAGCTTTTTTCCTCGTAATCTATTTAGCTAAAATGCATAAAAGCCATGTAAAATAAAAATAAAGATGAATTCATTTTTGCCTTAAAATTAAAATATCTTGGCTGTCGTTCTCTCAAGGACTTTAATTTGAAACAACGTTTACAAGTAAGTGCTTTTATGGCGTCAAGGGGTAGAAATTCGTATTTTGGCAACTCACCTCTTACGTTTTCCGGGTTATTTTTCAGTGGTCATTTCATCTAATGTGGCAATAGTAAGTGGTTGGGTGGAAAAGAGCACAATCTTATAAAAGAGTTCATTCATTTCTAGCTTTTCTTAGAGATCAGAAGTCATTTTTCGTCATATAAGGTTAATTTTCGTACTATTTTACTTCCTATACAATGACAAAAATTTTTACCTACATCCTGTTAAGCAAAATTATATTTCCAATTGAATTCTCTTGATTTAAAAAAAATAGAAATTTATTGACACAGTCTATTATTAGATACAGATCAATTTCTATAGCACACTGTAGTTGATTTCAACCGCCACACAACGCAGTGCGTCAGAAGAGCGCCAGGGAGCGATGTGCTGCAAACGTCACATTACATTCACAGAATGGAGGTGAAGGCTACCTAATTTTTTGTTTTAAAAGAATTTTTGTCTGAAATCAATTTTAAGAGTAATTTGATTTCTGTCAGATATTTATTACCGTTACTTTGTTTGATTACAATGTGAAATTATACGCGTTGTTTCTGTTACCTTGTAGACATGAAACACCATTGCGAAAGGTAGCCTGCTTTTCTATACATAGGTAAATGAAGCCCAACTCATTCAGCTTTGCGCAGTGGCGGTACCATAGCCAATGAGGTTTATCCGAGGCGTGGTTATTGCTAGTTGAAAACTATACCCAATACCCCGTGCTGACGTCGTGAAATACCGACGGTAGCACAATTTTTGAACGCCTCTACGGGGGCTAATAGCAACTTGTATCACGATCCATTTCACCCCCTTTCTTAGTTAAAGGTCTATCAATATTTTCCTTTCCCTACAACGTTATTATTGCTATATTCAATCTCCCAACACTCGATTCCAGCGTATTAAAATGAAGATGTAAGCAGCGCATGACATTGTTTTGAACATGTTCAGTGCATTTGATCTCTCACTGAGTACATGGATGCGAACGTACATAAACATTTCTACTTTGAGGATGTATAAGGACCAGAGTAGAGCCGTAACATATACGCATGGCCAGGCGTGATAGTGTCTTATTTTTATTATAAAGTGTACTGAACAAAGTTGGATTTTAGACTCAATAATAAAAAAATCAGGGAAATCCCGAAGCAGAAATGTGCTTGAGAAATTTACATTTTTTTCACGACGCATGCAAATGATGAGCATCCAATGCCTCGGAAGCCATTTGGCGCATATTAAAAAAAAAAAAAAACATAACTTTTATCCAAAGTGACCAAGAAAACTGAAACTTTGGGGGATGATCATGCACATATTGTAGTTAAAGTCAAGCAAATTTCTTGAGATTTGATACATATTTGTAGGATTTTGAAATTAAAATGAAATTTTTATGGGTTCTGTTTTTTTGGATCACCCTCTAACATGGATATTTGTTAGTGATGTAGGCCAGCGTGGGAGATATTATAGGCAAATTTTCAAAAAGTCAGAGAATCAAATGACTGTCTATTTATCTAAAGACATATCTGTGAATATCTTATGAAAAATCAATCTGTCACCCTGGTAGAGGGTAATAGGCCCTTACCACACCAACTTATGGACATCATGGGTTTGTAAAAAAGGTGCACATACAAGTGATATGGGCATATTTCATTTCTTTTTCAGGCAACCATCCCTGTAACAAAAAGAAATCAAAGGTAAGCTCGAAGGCGGGGACTGTCAGCAGACGACGGACTGTTTAGAAAATGCCCGTGAAAGGCATAAAATCCATGTAAAATAAAAATGAATTCTAATACTAATCTTGGCTGCCGTTCTCTCAAGGACTTAAACTTTGAATAGCGTACACAAGTAAGTGCGTCATGGCTTCAACGGGTAGAAATTCGCATTTGGCAACCCACCCCCCTGTATTGCGTTTTCCACGTTATTTTTCAGTGTTCATTTCCCCTATAAATGCGGCGAAAGTGGGTGGTTGGTTGGAAGGGGACGTTATGGTTATTACTTTTCCTCTCGGTTTTCACCCTAATTTTCGCTTCTAAAAAAGTAAAAAAAGAGAAAGAGGGAGAGAGAGAGATAAAAAAGAGAGAAAATATCCCAATAAAATTGACAATTGTCAGACACAAATAGGCCTAAATAGAAATGCAGTCAAAATTTTAATGGTTTGTCGATATCCGTTTATACTCTTGGAAACCTTAGACACACAGTTTTTTCACCTATATTTCATAATAATAATAACCTAATATCTAGGGCGCTGGATTTTCACCCAAAATCCGTATGCATCGCAACTCTGAATCACCATTCAGATCACCAAGGCCATCAAAATCATCATCATTACAAATCTCTGATATGAAGCTCACTTCCGGCCAGTCATATATTACTTCAGGGGACCTAATTTGCATATTAGAGAAAAAATGCATTTTTTTCTGATTTTGGCTTGTCTCCAATTTTTTCATTATTTTTCAAAAAGTATTGTCCTCTTTTGGTCACAAATCGGGACACTTTTGATCCACACGCACTGTTTGTAAATAATGTAATTTGAAATAATTTTTATATCACAGACGTGTATCACGATTTCACTCCACAGCCGTAATACTCGACAATAGCTGCATGGGTATAAAAGTAGGTCAATTGCCTGTATAAAATTGTCATACGATTGTTGATTTTTTTTTTTAGTGTGGACCGTTTTAGGGGGAGACAGAAGGGTAAATGTATCAAGATGCCAGCCAAATATTTTGTTGCATAAAGTTACCGAAAGACAGAGTATTTTACAAACTTTTACAGAAAAAAGTAAAACTAGCCCACATTTCAAACTCCACCATGTAAAATTTCATAGATACCAAGGTCCATCTCTTTTTCATATGACTCTCCCTAAAAATTTTCAGACCGCGTTAACTGTTCAGCTCCCGGGATGCGCGAAGCATCCAGCGTGTTGGCAGACGCTGATGCTCTGCAGACGACACATTGCATTCAGAAGAGGGGGTACAGGTTTTCTGGGGAATGTTTATTTAATTACGTCTGACAAATTATATGATAAAGGAAAGAAAATTGACTTATTTGAATTTATATTGATTAAGTGCAATGAAAGATATTGATATTTCTTCTCAAAATTGCAGAAAAAAAACACACACACAAAAGGACATAACCTATCTCCCCTAAGAACCCTTACATGGCATATCCTATCCGTGAACTTTTGACCTACTTTCAAATAGCTTTTACACTCTGAGTTTGGAAGGTGGATTGTTTGTATGGTATCAGTGGAAAGGGGGCGTATTGGGGGGGGGGGGATCTAATGTGCCTATTCTTGTTCAGGAAGTCTTGATATTTCTATTTTGCTTATACTTTAATTTTTGGGTTCATGCACAGTATTACACACAGCTAGATTATTCACATTATTATATTTTGGTTTTATACATGTTATATTTTATACAATGAAAATTTTTATTTTAAATGATAGACCTGAATTGAGAGCGTTGGCAACGGAGAAGAGTTTTGTATCCAAACCCACAACTGTTAATTATGCTGGCCTGCACATTCTGTACTTTATTATAATTTTGATCTGATTCCTTTCTTTTATGATGAATTAGCTAGGACAAACAGTGATCCAACGTACAGCTTAAAGCATTGGACCCCCCCCCCTTCCCGCGCGTGTGTGTGTGTGTGGGGGGGGGGGCGTAGCCTATGTCATTTTGTCTTGTCATGTCTTGACAAGATACCTATATCATTAAGAATTAACTGTTACTTGTTTTTTAGTCGTATTGACTTCAAAATCATTATTTTTCATTACTTTTTTCTTGTATTGATCTGAAATGTAAAATTTGTGACTTTCATGTAACAATTTGCTTTGTTATAGCAGGGCACATTTTTTGCGGAAGTAGTGACCAAGGACCAGAAATTGTGGCTGGACACCATCTTTGAGCATCTGGACCTGTTGTCATGGAGATCAGGGTAACAGACAAACATCAGACCATATGGTACCACAGCTGACAGCTAAGGTAAAACTGCTCGCTGTGGGATTTATTTATTTATTCATTTAAAGCAAAACAGGTTAAGACATATATCAAGATCTGCATTGGACAACATGAAAAAGTGCCATGTTTTCTTGATGAAATGATTCCTGCAGCTGGGTATTTAATATATTCTTTTACAGTGTAATGATATCTTTATTTAACAACATATTGATCAATTAAAGGAATGGATATTTTCTGAAGGAATATTGTGACATTTTTCCAGATTCATCAACAAAGGAGAAGCCTAGGAGACCACCTTCCTTTCAGCATGACAGCAAGGACAAATCTGGTGCACTTCATCAAATGCAAATCTTGAAAAGTAGATTAACTTAGACCTTCTTTATTTTATTTTATTTATTTATTTATTTATTTGCAAAATGACTGTAAACTCGACAGTAATTTGGATCAGAGAAGTAATTAGAGTGTAGCACTTCAAGTTCCATGGTTTTATTGGTGTCAAGTCAGTTTTATATCAGGCAGCACTGATATTTAGCATAAATATTTTTTCATTCTTTTTTTTTTCAACAACTTTTATGATAGTCCCATTGGATGAGGTTATGTTTTCACCCCTGTTTGTCTGTTTGTTTGTTTGCTTGTCATCAACATAACTCAAAAAGTTATGGACCGATATTGATGAATTTTTCAGGAACTGTCAGAAGTGGGCCAAGGAAGAGATGATTAGTTTTTGATCCGGGTCAGTAATCAATCAATAATCAATAATAATAAAAAATCGCTGCCTTGGCGGAGGTCTGCGCTCTCGGAGTGCTTTTCTAGTTACTCTTGCGCTACTCAACAACAGTTTCAACAGACTCACTTTATGCGCTCTCGCTGTAAGGCTATCAGTTACCAACCCGACAAGAGTCGTGTCATCTGCGAATTTCATGCCATAACCTTAATGTTAAATCTTTAACGTGCGTGAGTAATGAACGACAGCATGTTTTAACCTTTTTGTGCTAATAAGCATCACCTCATTTATTTGGAATAAAGATCTGTCTTAGAAATATATAGACGTAGCACAAATACCAGTTGGTACGTGTACGTATAAAGAGTGGATAAAAATCGCATTCGTCTTCTCTAACACAATCCTACGTAGTTGTCACTCATTCCTTCATTCTACAAATGAAATCAGATTGCTAAATCTGATCGCTTAATATCAAGTATTATAACTGATAAAATGTGATTTTTTTTTATCCATTGTGATTGTAGTAAACCCGGGTCACCTTCCTGGGGTGGGGATCCATGTGCGTACCCTTATCATACAGAGGTTATCAAACTCAGATTGTGTACATCTTTGGGGATGAGCGAATTAAACGACATCGATCGTGAGAGGATAACACATATTTCCTCTGAATAGTCTTATTATGAAACAAATGACAGACTCTTCGTAGCATTAATAAATCTAAAATACTTTGGTGTTATTTATAATTTTATGTAGACAAAGAAAACTGTTAATACAGAACTTTAAAATGCTTAAGTGATTCTTTTCTAAGCACTGAAGAAAACAATTTCGTAAATAAAAGAAATGGTGTATTATTTATTTATTTATCTATTTTTTCGTTTATTTATTTATTCATTTACTTGTTTACTTCTTTAGTGTGTAGGCCTACGCATGTGTGTGTGCTTGAGAGAGAGAGAGAGAGAGAGAGAGAGAGAGTCGGATTGGGCGACGAAGGGCTTTCGAGGAAATCTCCCTCTCTGGCAATTATCAATGCTGACAGGTATGATGATCTGTTATCACAAAACATGAACGGTTTCCAACAGGCTGATATTCCAGATTTTTTATAAGAATGAGGTTGCATTTGCCATGTAATGTACGGATATTTACTTTTGTGCATTGTCCTTGCGGAGATAGGTGCGGAGGTAGGTGGGGCCGTGCGAATCATGTGGATTCATGGCTGCTGTAGACTATACAATTTTTTTAAGATGATCAACAGAAACTTTTGACAAAAGTTTAAAATAGATCGTATGCCCGTAGGCCTTGGCAATATCGGAGATGACTCTGAACAGTTCCCGCATGAGCACTGTTCGGTAGACCTGCAGTGATTTGGATGATGGTTGAAGCTGTTGGTGGTCTTTTTCTCTCCACCTTTGGTAGTTTTAGGAGGATTAATAATAGTGAAGTTTTTTATTTTTAATCTGAAAGNTCTCTGATTGAGGGTAACAAGAAGAATCTTCATCTGAAATGAAACCAATAATTGTATCACAAGAAATATTTACATTAAGAGTTTTTAAATGTTTATTCTACAGAATACACACAAACACACACAATGGACAACATCTGTTCCAATTTATATTTAAAAACATTTGAAACACAGGCTCAGAGCTAGGGGGATCCACAATCTTATATTAACTTAGCCATGTTTTATGGGCTACATGACATCATGTGTAGTGAGCAGGTTGATGACTTCATTGTGACAAAATGGACCAACTGGTCTAAAGGTAACAAAACTGAAGAAGCAGATATTTGTACTGTAACAAGGAGCAGTCGTGTAGAAAATTTCTCAGTCTGTACAAAACTTGACTCTTATTCAGCTTTCCTGGTTAATTTCATTAAAATCAACCCAGCATTAATATCTGTTTTACCAAAAAACCCAAAGTAAAAAAAAATCTGACCTATGCTTGTAGTTTGACATTTTTACACACTAAATTTGAAATAAAAGCACTATTTGACGCATATGAGACAAACATATGAGACGCATATGAGACAAACATCACCATAATACATGCAAAAATAAATAAATAAATTAAAAAAATCCAAACATGCCAACATCTTAGAGTGATAAATAATTATTTCACACACCATTCAAGTTTCACCTCAACAACAATATGACACATAGCCTCATATAAAATCATGCCTCTTTAAAGATCTGCTTACCTCTCAAGTCTGTTCAAATACTAAGTAAAGGCCCCTTGGTGGCTATCCAACCTTCTGGGTGTTGGGCGATACTTCTTGTCAAGGATTTTATTGCAGTGTGAACATTTCAGCCAGACATGCTGTAAATATGTGGAATTATGATATATTGTCACTGATTGCAAACACAATTAAATTAACAAAATAACAGAAACACATTTTCAGTATCTACACCATATATCTATTAAACATTCTGAATAATGTCTTTTCTTGGCACAAAATAAAAAGAACAAAGTTTTGAAGTTTAAAGACAAACTTCCTTTGATTTAATAGACAACAGCAATGAAAGATTGCAAACTAAAATGATAACTATTTGCCCACCTTCCAACATCTGGGGCTTTTGTTGAAGTAACCAGTTTGTGACCTGTTCACACTCTTTGGCTAACTATTGTCTATGCTGAAATGTGAAAATGTCAAAATAAATAAATAAATAGAAATAAAAAAACCACAAACACTATATGAAGTTTTTTTTATTAACCAAAGTGGTTAAACTCCTAACACAGAAGTACTTTGAGTAGACTGCACTAACATTTTGCCTCTTTTACATAAAGTACATTTAAAATAATATGTGCAACCAGCTTTCTCTCCATTTTTTAAGTGAAATACTTATCATAAAATCACTGCAATAAACTAAATATACACTTTTCAGAGCACATGCTCCCTTTTTTGCTGCTCTATTCCCCACCCCATGCACTTCTGCACATATAGTGTATTGAAGAATAACTACATCTTGACTTTCTTTGTCCTTTCAATATGCTCATAAAATAAAGCCCAAGTGCTGAGATTACTTCTGATTTGATGATCCTTACAGTGTACTCTTTACCCGTTAAAATAACACTTAAACAGTGGGAATTAGCAGCATTTGTGCAGTGTCCCGCCCTGGCCCCTTAGAGTTAGGGTTAGGTTGGAGTTAAGGGTTAGTTTAGTACTAGTTAGTGTTAGAGGCCTGGGCTGACTGGACTTTAGATTTAGAGGTAAAATTGGGATTTGGGGGTGGGGGGGTAGATACTGCACAAGTATACCTGCATAAGTACCAATGTCATTCCACATTCATAAATGGCACAATGCTGGATGGAAATTAAAAAGAAATCACCAAAAATATTAAAATATTTGATATTTGGGCAGGGGTTTGCTATTTTTGTGTTTAATCAGAACTTCCCAAATGATTTAGACATGTAACTGTCAGCTTGCACGGCACAGCACCTTTGCTCCATTTAATAGGGAACATACCTTAACAGGTTAACAGGAAATAGATAAATACAATGAACCTAACTTTGCACACTCTAATGATCGTTTCATGTTGAAAACAGCAGGTGAAAAGTTCTGTCATGAACAAAGGAAGTTCTCTCAAGTTCCATGCAGGATATTGTGCTATTCTCAGACACACTGACACATAACCTACTCTAGGTAGAAAACTTACAGCCAACTAGTAGACAAATCTTGACTGCTGACATCTTCAGATAATGCAAGAGCAAAATATCATCAAAGAAAAAGCCTGAGAAAGTAACACCTTGAAGATACTTAGATGTTCCATTATTTGCAATTATGGAGGCAGTAATTAAACTATGTCAACATGGTTAAATTGGGTTTTTTATCGTGTGACCTGTTTTTTTGTATCTTTGAGCAGGCTCACAAAAGTCTGCAGTAAAACTGTCTTCACAATGATACAACTTATTCTAAGTAATGACCTGGGTAAATATAATCCCTATTAGCCTTATGCTAACGCAGCGATACAGAAACGGCGCGACTTTGCGACATTTCTTTGACCCATAAATTTCATTACTGTCTCATAAAAAACGATCGTAATGCGACCCAACATGAGGCCATTGTTGCATAAATAGCATCACCTTTGCGACCAGGAAATCAGAAAAATACGTATATAGTCAAATTTAATAAAAATCAAAAATGATCCAAACAGTTTAACAAAGTAAAAGTTGTTCAGTGAGTGCGCAGTTTCACCTGAAACTGAGTGGGACTCAACAGCCAATAACATCGCACCTTTCAGTTATAGCGCTTAGCAACGCTTGCAAATTCAGCTAATCATGCTTCTTCTTGCATTCATCGCAATTTTCCCCCTCGCACATGGCGGAGCCTGAGCAAAGTGACAGTGAAACTGAACCTCCTGACCAGCCGGCCGCTTGTTTGCCTCGGAAACGTGTCAAACGAGAGTTCAATGAAGCTTGGAAATCTAAATGGACATGGCTAGAACACAAAGACAACCATATGTTTTGCACACTATGTGTAAAAAGCCAAAAAAGAACGTTTTTACCGAAGGCTGTAGCAACTTCAGAACCACGACTTTGGAGCGGCATGCTTCAGCAGCTGACCATCGCCAGTCGGTTCAAGATG